AGCTCTGGAGGCCGCGGAAGAACTTGACGGTGGAAGCAGCAGACTGCCGGGTGCCGTTCATCAAGGCGTCGCTCTTCTTCTCGTCGGTCGCCAGGCGAGTGATACCCTTTGCGTTGCTGCAGACATCAGCAATAGCCCCCGCGAAAATGTTGATAGCCTTGATCAACTCCGCATGCGTGGCGTTGGGGCCATCGGCAATGAAGTTGTTGAAGGCGGTGGCAAACTCCATTGCGCTCGAGGAAGCCTTCTCGATTTGAGATAAGACGTATGATGGCGAGGCGTTCTGGTTTCCGGCTTGCATCGTGGAGTCCAACTCGTAGAGCGCGTCGTCTACTCTCTGCACACCCGACTGCAATACGGAATCAATAATGTCGTTGATCTTGTCGAGGTTGGCCATGATCAAGGTATCTATCTGTCCGTCGATGACGGTGTCCGTGTCGCCCTGGTTCAGCTTGAGCTCGTTGAGCTCGATAAGGGTCTGATCCATGCCCGCCTTGTACACCTCCAACTCTTCTTCCTTGTCGCGGAGGAGCTGCTCCAGGTCCGAGCTGCCATCTCTGAGCTTCGCCTGGGCATCATCCAGAGCTCGGGACTTGAGACGCAGAGCCTCCTCGAGGTCAGCCATCTCGCGATTGTACTTGGACAGCATCGTTGAGAGCTCGTTTCCTTTGCTCCTCTCAATGTTGTCAGCCCGGTCAAGGGCCATGCGCAGCTCGCGCTTGAGCTTCTCAACCTCATCCTTGTTTGCCCCTGCCAGACGATCCTTGTCGTGAAGGGCACGATCCCTTTCTCTGATCATGTCCGCAAGCTCGAGGTTCTTCGTCTTGATCTCACGTTCTAGTTTCTCCCGGCGTTCAATGGCTTCTTGGGCAGAGGCAGCCTTCAGCTGTACAGACTTGAACTTTTGCAGCAGATCCAAGTGCTCGTGGCGGAGCTGAGAGTAGAGTTTCGCGAGGGCCTCGTATTTCGTGCGCCACGTGTTGACCTGCTCCTGAAGAGCTCTGATTTGGTCGTCTTTGCTCGTAATTTGTTGGCCAAAGTGTCCCTGAATCTGAGCCAGCTCACTCTCCAATGCCTTCACCCTCTGGTCGTACTGCTGAAGCATCAGCTGATCCCGCTCGTACTGGGCTCTGGCGTTGAAGTTCTCCTGTTCAAGCTCCGCGAGTCGGCCCTGAGTCTGGTATTGCAACTGTTGCTGCATCAAGGCCTCTTGCTCACGACGCTGCTGCTCCGCCAGTCTGCGTTGCTGCTCCTCAAACTCCCTTTGAGCTTGCTCTTGCGCCTGTTGCTGCATCATCATCTGGTTCCGTTGCTGTTCCTCGAGCACCCTCTGCTGCTCCTCGTACTCCCGGTTCTGGCGTTCCAGCTCGTTCTTCCAGAACTCGGAGATGTCGTCGGGCTCTTGGGATTTTGGTTCAGGAGGTGGGGTCGGGCGTCTCTCAATTTCCTGCTTTGGCCGAGCCGGCAACGCAGGCGCCTCATCGTCTTCCGACAAAAGATTGGGAGGATCTTGCGGCAACTTCGGAATCGTAATCAAGCTGGTCAAGTAGCGCAAGTTCGAGCACTCGTAGTAGAATTTGACAAGACGGTAGTGCTGTGCATCGTATCTCTCACGCAGAGGCGAGAGCACTTCGGCATCACCAGTAGCTGGGTCAAGTTAGCAGAGCTGGTCTTTGCCATCAGTCAAGGGGGCGCCTACTTGAGTGCATGGCACGCAGCATGCTTGTGATGAACTTGTAGATACCGTAGCTCTCCTGCACGAGGGGGACCAGGGAGGAAATCCGACACTCGTTGTTGCCAACGTGACGAAAGTGGGAGAAGATCAACTTCTGGAACTGCTCAATCTTGTCTTGCAGCGTCATCAGGTCGGTGATTGTCTCGTAGCCCTCGTTGGGATCGTTAATGGCTTTCAAGCTCAGATATTCCTCGTACTCGAACGTCCCGTTGAACTCGGGATGCTGCTGATGGAAGGAGAGTTTCGCCAGGAGGTAGTAGACGTATTCTCGGATCAGGGGGCTGTATCCTCGAACTCCTTCTCCGCCCATGCCGCGGTTCAAGCTATCGATCCAGCCCCTCTGCGCCATAGCCTCTCTCAAAGTGTTGGGGTGTCCTTCCTGAAGAACTTTGTGAACCGTGATCAAGGCCTTGAACGTCTGGACCTCGTCGGCGAGAATTGGCTGGCTGCATTGCGTCCTTGTTAGCGGAAGCCCTCCCACTTGCAGGGGCGCCACACTTACACCTTCATCCCCGTCCAGAAGGCCTGGGAGGACCGGTGGTCCCAGGTATACACGATACAGCTACGGACATGTTTTCGCTTCGGCGCGGTCTCGTCGGGGTTCGTTGCCTTCTTGATGTTGATCGCCAACTCCTGATCGGTCCTTGAAAAGTGTCAGTGCACAGTCGCAAAGACTTAAACATCCAGCATTGGACCGCCATATCTCACAGGCAGGGGAGAAACGGACTTGGTGTGCCTGGTATCAGGCACGGCGGCCATTTTGGCGAGATTCTCTACGCGGGGTCGCTGGGTGTTGTCGGAGGTGGATGGGGGTTATTGGGGGCGGGTTTCTGATGGTTCGAGGAAATGACGTCTCCCCACGGGTTGAGGAGAGAGCTCCACGTGCACGCAGAGCTGCCCAAGTATCACTGGGAAGCAATGTGTTTCGGGGGAAATGAATGCACTGTTGAATTTGACAAAGAGAAGATAGAATGGGACTTCCGTGCCAAGTGGAAGAGGCGGAAAGAGTCGTCAGCGTTGACCAAGCTCCTAAAATGTCTGGAGAAGCTCGAGTGTGGCTGGGTTCTGCAACTTGCGCAAGCTCCGGGGGAGTGCGCCAAGACGTCGTCGTTTGCGATCCGGCTTAGTTTGGGGCGGATTGGGCATGAAAAGCATGGAACAATGCTAATCCGGCGGAGGCGACAGTGTCAGCGTGCCTTCCAGTAGCGCCCCAGCGGCGGCCAAGCACCCAAAGCTCCAGGCCGACGCCTGGTCTGATGACGATAATGGTGGGGTTCAGCAGCCAGAGTTGGCCCCAAAAGGCCCCTGCGCCTCCTCTCAATACCCGATTGCTGCGCTCGATCTAATAGGAGATTCCCACGTTTGAGACGATGGCGAGCAGTCAATAAAGTACCCTAATGACAAGTGCAAATGATTGGCGGGTATCAAGCCAAAGTAAAACATAGGGGGTGTGCTTCTGGAACGCATTCGTGGAAACGCAACTGCTTGTGTCAAGGTGCGAACCGACAAGCTCGTGTTAGTCGCTAGGACTCATATGGAGAATACGGCCAATGCCAATCGGGGGCCCTACGAATTGCAGACGCTGGCGTCGAGTGTTCAGCGCATTCGCCGAAGGTTATGTGACACTGGTCATCGGCAGAAGATGTGTAGCTTTTTTGCATGATCTGGCCGGTCGCCTGAGATGGAAAAAGCAGATGAGGGGTCAATCAATACTCGGACAATTTGTACAGTGTGAGACGGATATTGTACAGCAATTTCTTTTGTTTTTTACGCCCGAACATAGCCTCAGCATAGGTACCTTGTGGACGGTCACAGCTCAGCAAAACAGTTGAAGCATTTTACAACGTCTTGTTCTTCATTCGACTGAGGGTATCATGAGAGCCCGACGGGCAAACTATTCGCTTGGCTTTCGTACTCATTCGGAATGGCCGTGATTCCCACGAACACACAACACCTAGACACCGGAATTCGTAACATGCCCCTAGCTCAGGCTAACAACCATGAAGCTTCGCGGCACGATCACGTAGTGGCCAACGGGGCGCACAAGTGACATCCCCTCATGTAGGTGTGAACAACGATGTGCCATTGGTTTTTTTTTTCCATTCCCTATGGACGTTGCCGAAAACGTGATGTGATGCCTTTCCATGCTAGAAATCCTTTTCGTTCCTCACGTAAACACCCCATGCAAAAGAAGAACCGCCAAACCCCCCAAAAGACACTCTAAATCGTCGTCTCGTAAGGGAGAGGGGTGACAGTCTCGGGCTTGTTCTCCTTGAAGTCGACGGTGCGGGCCTCACGGGGCATGAGAGGGAGACGCTTAAGCTGGAGGGCCTTGCCCTCGGCCTGGGCCTGCTTCTTCAGCGCAGCGTTCTCCTTGACGCGGCGCAGGAAGTCGTCTCTCGAACGGGAGGGCGAGATGTGCTCGACGCGGATGTTGATGCGCTTCTCGATGTAGCGGTGCTTCACCTTCTTGTAGATGATGATGCCGACGGCGGACTTGGTGACGTTGTAGATGACACCGGTCTTGCCGTGGTAGACCTTGTGAGGCATACTGCAATTCCAATATGTCAGCCATTTGTGTGCGCGCATGCCAACGCTCCTTCCAGGTGGTGGAAAAGTCCCCATCTCCGATATGTCCTTGTCGCATAACGCTTGATTCGAGAGTCGAGAATTCGCTTACCCCTTCTGAACGGCACCGTTGGCCTTGATGTCGACAATGTCGCCAACCCGGTACTCGCGGAGGTACGTGGAGAGCTTGATCATACCCTTCTCACGGAAGTTTCTGCTGAACGCATACTGCAACGCCAAAACCGTCAGCAATCCGGCCGCAATGCAATAATATCTCGAGGCAGGGCAGTACGTACGCGCGTTCCCGCGCGAAGACCCGCTGGGTGACCCATTTTGCCGGTGTGGTTGTCGTGAAGGGCGGAATTTGGTGATAGTGTTGTCGGGTCTTGGAAAGATCACGGAAGTTCCAGACAAGCAAAGGCGAAAACGGCCCAGGAATTTCGTGTGCTTATTGCTGACTCAGGTGCCGATTTTTTGCATCGCCTGGTCGGTGGGAAAAGGGCACTGCACGTGATACCTAGGCGAATGTAGGAAAGGACCCACTAAACTGACCCTCTAGCCAGCCCTCGCTCGCTCCCCACAGCGTAATTTTTGTCAGTGGTTTGTTTGACCTTGGGAAATATCGAAAGAACTTCTCGATCTTGTATTTGCTCTTCGTCAACCAACAAATCCCGAAGGATATCGACGAGTCGGCAAGATGGCGCCGTAAGTAACGACCGATCGCACTCCTCATGCGCATGTCGCAATGGAGAATCACATTATGCTAACAGCTGGCGCAACAGTCTCACCTACTCCAAGACCTCCAAGGTTCCCCGTCGCCCCTTCGAGGCCGCCCGTCTGTCAGTATTCTCCGGCCACTGAACTAGAGCTTGCTCTGTTTACGTCGTGAATTCAACAACTGACTTCGATACGATGATAGGGACTCCGAGTTGAAGCTCGTTGGCGAGTACGGTCTCCGCAACAAGCGTGAGGTCTGGCGTGTCCAGCTTACCCTCTCCAAGATCCGTCGTGCTGCCCGGTAGGTTGACTGCTGCATTCGCTGTTTGTGGTGCATTATTTCCGCTAACATACCACGCAGTCAGCTCTTGACCCTTGACGAGAAGGACCCCAAGCGCCTCTTCGAGGGAAATGCCCTCATTCGCCGTCTCGTGCGCGTCGGTGTCCTCGACGAGTCCCGCATGAAGCTCGATTACGTCCTTGCCCTCAAGGTTGAGGATTTCCTTGAGCGCCGCCTCCAGACCTGCGTCTACAAGCTCGGCCTTGCCAAGTCTATCCACCACGCCCGTGTCCTCATCCGCCAGAGACACATCCGCGTCGGCAAGCAGATCGTCAACGTCCCTTCGTTCATCGTCCGTCTCGACTCCCAGAAGCACATTGACTTCGCCCTCACCTCTCCCTTCGGCGGTGGCCGTCCCGGTCGTGTCCGCAGAAAGAAGGCCAAGGCCGCTGAGAAGGCCGACGGTGGTGACGAGGAGGAGGATGAGGAGTAAATGCATCGCCATTTATGCTAAGGATTGGTCACACAAAAAAGCTCTGGGAGAAGAATGGCTGGAAATCATAACCAACCACGGGAATCGGGGTGTTCATAGTCACGGCGTTCACCAGAGGCAAAATGGAATGATTGCATCAAATACGGATACCACCAATGAATGTTATAAAAGTCTTTGCTTGTCATTCAGGGCACACAAATCAAGAGAAGCTCTTGCATGCCAGCACGCGAACTTGACAGGGAAATGGGTATCATGTTTGTCAAATGCAAATAACCTAAGTAGTCTACCCTCAAACCAATTCATCCTTGCCTAGGAACTTTGCCATCGGATCGTTTGCGGCTGTACGTTTCCTCCTGTACTCCTCCATCTCTTCCTCCGGGACACCTCCCATCATTTCTTCCGCAGTGCGCTTACTCACAGACTTCTTTACCAGGGGCTCATCTTCCGGCTTATCAGCCTCGGGAGTATCTGTCGTTTTCTCCTCTTGAACCAACATCGCACCGGTCCGCTGTCTTTCAGATGCTTCCCAGGCCTGCTTGCCTTCCTCACCAGTGCAGTAGCTATTCTTCACCACGGAGTGACAGCACTCATAGCCCCATTTGAAATTTGACCACCAGCTTCCCCAGACGGATGTGTGGTTGTGTATGTAGACGTCTTCGGGGTACTTTGACTTGGCGATCACCCTGGGCGCGCCCTTGATGAGACCCCTTTCGTCGTACTCAACGTACTTCTCGGACTCCGTGATGAGGTTCTTCATCTCCTCGGGCATCGTGTACTGCGAGTTGTCGCCGTACATCTCCTTGAGCTTCCTCTCCTGCTCGGCCCGCTTCTTTTCGGCCTCTTCCTTCTCCTTCTTCCTGTAGAATTCTCCGGCTGTGGGGTTTGCTTGCAAATGCTTCGTGGTATCGCCACTCTTTTCCTGGGCTTCCCAGGCGTACCTTTGTGCCTTCTCGAACTCGCTCGCGTCGCCCGAAGCTCGCAGAAAGCCCTCCTCCGCGAAAAGATCCGCGGCCTTGTCTGCGGTTGCGCCAGCATCGACCAGGGATCTCGTCTTCGGATCGTACTTGGCTGACTCGAGATCGAGATTAACCAGGTACTTGGCTGTGTCTTCTCGTATTCTGAGCTGGCGAGTGGCCGTACTTTGATGCTTGCTCATATCATTCTCCTCGGCGTACTTGTCACCGTCGTCCTGCTCGTCTTCCGCTCCGTCCTTGGCTAGAGCAGCCTTCCTCAGCTGTTCCATCTGGTTGAACTCCTCCACGACGTTACGATATTCCTTAGGATCGTATCCATTCCAACGATCACGCTTGGCATCCCAGCCTAGCTTAACATCCTGGACGACCTCATCCGCCTGGATGTCCTTGCCAGTCCACTTTGCACCTTTCGCACGTGGTCGGCTCAGGCAATCCTTGGCCTTGTGCGTCATGGCGCCGCAGTTTTCGCATGCCCCTTTACGATATTTCGTGGCTGCGGGGCCCGACTTTCGACCACGGTCGTACCATTGTGACTGCTCATCTTTCTTCTTCTGCAGACGTTGATGTTCGAGGTAGTCTGTCTGATCGTCTCCTTCTTCGCCTGCATAAAAAGGACGTTTACTGATAAACGAGGGGATGTATATGTTTTCTTCTTTCGAGGCCGCAGAAGCCTTCGGATCGGGTTTTCGGGGGGGCGGTGGTGGCATTTTGACGAATCGCTGCTGTTGATTTTCGAGAATTGTTGCTGTGTGAAAGTCGAAGGGCGCATCTCGGGGGGGATTTTGAGTTTGGGTGCTGAGCGTAAAGCCATATTCATTACGTAATCACCATATTGCCTGAAAGCTTCAGTGTCAAGCGAAACCAGGCTTAAGGTTGTTGCTGAGTTTTCTCCATGTTCAATGTGTTGTTCATTCTATGTATAACATTCATTTTACGGCTTATATATGAGAAGTAAACAGCGGAAATATTGAGGAAATTGTCAAAGCTGGTGCCTGTCTAGTTGTTTCTGATTTGGCCATGATGCTCGCCATATGTGTACTCTTTAGCATGGCTCTTATCTTATCGAGCCCACAAGCCACGTGACCTCGCGGGTTCTGGGCGTAGACATGGGAGCTTGCACGCGCGTGGTTCCTGAAATAACACGACCTTGTCGCGTCGCGGCACCCTCTGCTAACTGGCACAAACGATCCCAACATACGCCGATTTGGTTCTTATTCTTTCTTATCATGAAATTCTCCTCAATAACGCCACCTGGGTGTCCATGAAGCTCGTCGGCATTCATCATGGACTTGTTCCGAGTGAGACTGAACTGCATCGATCACTATCAAGCGACTCCGACGCATTATGATCCACAGCTGAGAAACGATGTCGGCCCTGCGCAAGCGAAGAGGGGACCGAAGATCCCAGTTGTGAGGGTATTCGGCTCCACTGAGACGGGACAAAAAGTCTGCGCGCATATTCACGGCGCCTTCCCTTACCTTTACGTCGAGTACCAAGGCAGTCTGGAGCCTGAAGAGGGTAAGTGAATCTTACTAAAGGCCAAGGCTTTGCTGACCATAATAAGTCGGAGCGTACATCTATCGTCTTCATTTGTCCATTGACCATGCCCTGGCTGTTAGCTACAGGCGTGACCAGTACGGAGAAAACGCCAAGTTTGTCGCTCGCATAACCCTCGTTAAGGGAGTCCCATTCTATGGCTTTCACGTGGGCTACCGATTCTTCCTCAAAATCTACATGTTCAACCCTATAGTCATGACAAGACTGGCCGACCTGCTTCAGCAAGGCGTCATCCTGAAGAGGAAATTTCAGCCCTACGAAGCTCATCTTCAGTACCTGTTGCAGTTTATGACTGACTACAATTTATACGGCTGTGGCTACCTGGATGTGTCTGATGTTTATTTCAGAGCTCCTGTTCCATCCTTTGAGGAAGAAGGCAATTCCGAACATATATGGCATGATCGGACAATCCCCCCCACCCGGGTCCTCAATGATCCTAGTCTGCCCAGGATCAGTCATTGCTCGGTTGAGGTTGACATATGCGTCCAGAACATCATGAACCGACACATGGTAAAAGAGCGTCGTCTTCATCATGATTTTGTTGAGCGTGTCAAGCCGCTTCCATTAGATGCGAAAATGGTCTACAGTATGGCTGGACTCTGGAAAGACGAGACTCGTCGCCGGAAACTGAAAATGCCCAACGCTGATCCCGACAGCAGCCCATTCCCAGCGGAAGTCTTGATTTCCATGTCGGCCAATGCACGTGACTCGCAACCGCAAGGGTGGATCCACGAAGCAGAGTATAAAGATGAAGTCGTCAAGCTTATCGAGTCAGAGAAAGACTCAGAAGATCAATCAGAGCCAAAGTTTGAGACATTCGTCAAGCAGACGCCACTGGAGTCTACGGTCAAGACAGCGTTTCAATCCGTTGAGGACCTTTATCCTACAAATCTTCTGCCAGCCCTCGGTTTGCCATTGAACCATGGATCAGCCATCAACAATCGTGCAAGCAGCATAGACGTTGACGAACAGGGCGTTCTTGATCTAGGCGCCGACAACTTTGATTCATATCCCGTCGATTCTGACGAAGAAGCTCTTATTCAGATGGGAAAACGGAAGTTGCAGAAGAGCGGTCCAATAAAACGTGCCGTTGATCGTAAGAAACGTCCGTCGGACAAGCAAGGAGATGTTCCTGCGAACGAGGAGTCCACGAATCTTACCGAGGAGGAAGGGTTGCTTGCCAACAAAGCGATCCACAAACTGCAATCCAACCTCCCGCTTCCTCAGTATGAGGGCGTCTATACTAGCAGGCTGAAAATTGGCTACCCACCAATCGTACCAGTTTGGGACGATATTCTTGGTACGGCCCAAGAAGAAGGGCTCGTGTCCAGAGTGAAAGGAGAGACTTGTTCAAGTCTCCCGCGACCGGCATCAGTGAAACGATGCTTGTCACCGGATGCAACGCTTCCCTCGACTAAACGGACCAAGAGCGTGTTGCCAGGGCCGTTTAGTGCTGTCACACCTGCGCCGCGAGCCCTCGTCAAAAGTGTCTTGAATGCTGAAGCGATTATTGAGAAGCAACAAGTCGCAGTGTTGCCACCCAACTCTCAAGAACCGCCAAGGTTTTCACAGAACACGAGAACAAAGTCCATAAAAAATCGGGAGCTGGCCTTCCCAGTGGTAAAAAGCCAGGAAGATCCAAACACCAAACTTCGCCTAAGCCAAATGAGCCAACCCCAAACTTCACAACCCGCCGAAGCAGGCTCACAAGAGCATGTCTCCTTCAACTTGACAGCAAGAGACACAAAAATCAACAACCCAAAGACACCAGTTTCAACCAAGAAAGTCCGAATAACATCACCGCCAACAGATTCGGTCGGAACAGAGACGATGTTGAGCCGTGTCCAGACAGCTCTCGGAGCATTCTCGTCCAAACGGCAATTTGTGGTTGGCTCACTGCCTCCTGCACCGAAAGAACTTATATCCACGATGAGTTACCTTCAAATTCCGGACGTGATATACCAAGACGCATACTATAGTGAAGAGAAGGATGTCCCTGCTCGACCCAGAGAGTATGCCGGCCGAGAGTTTCGCCTCGCAAGCGACACTCTGCCATACCTGGCCAACTTTGATCCGACTGGCACGTCTGCAGCCAGCAAGGGCCATAAACAAGATGTGTCAATCGATAAGCCCAAGGCAGATTCGCTCTATTCCACGCAGGGGAACATGTGCTCATATCGGAGCTGGGAGATGGCACAGCCGCCGCCATCTTTCAAAGAAGTTCAGGATTGGTGGAACAAGAAGCATGCCGTGCAGCGAAAACGCAATACCGCTGCTAGAAAGATCATGAGCACCCCTCAAGCGACAAGACGCTACCTCTCCCAGATTGATGGGCCAACTCCAAAAAACAGGCATGCTTTCAAGTACCCACCGAAGGGAAAGTCAACCGGCGTCAAGCACGAAGCACAATACATGAGCACCATGGCCCTGGAGATTCACGTCAATACACGGGGCAAGCTTGTGCCCAATCCCGACGAGGATGAAGTTCAGTGTATATTTTGGTCCATCAAAGCAGACGGCACCGTCAACAGCAGTCAGGAAGCAGCAAGCGGAATTCTTGCTGGAGTTGTTGTCTTGTCACCAGATGGAGGTCTCGCCGCGAAGATACGTCGATACACACCCGCAGAGGTAGTCGAAGAGTCTTCTGAGCTTGATCTAATGGTCCGAATGGTGGAGATTGTTAGGCGCCATGACCCCGACATCCTAACAGGATACGAGGTCCATGGAAGCTCATGGGGCTATCTCATCGAAAGAGCTCGTGTGAAATACGATTACGACCTCTGCGACGAGTTCTCTCGTACTAAAAGCAACTCTCATGGTCGCATAGGTAAAGAAAACGACCGATGGGGCTTCAACACAACCTCGACCATTCGTGTAACCGGCAGACACATGATCAATATCTGGCGGTGCATGAGAGGAGAACTGAATTTGCTTCAGTACACCATGGAGAACGTCGTATGGCATGTTCTACACCGGCGCATGCCCCACTACTCCTGGAAGACCTTGACGGAGTGGTATAACAGTAGCAAGCAACGGGATCTTGACAAGCTGTTACGTTACTACCTTGGGCGAACAAAGACCGACATCCAGATACTGGAGTCAAACGAGCTCATTCCCAGAACCAGTGAACAGGCAAGACTGTTGGGAGTGGATTTCTTCTCCGTCTTCTCGCGTGGCTCTCAGTTCAAGGTTGAATCCATCATGTTCAGGATTGCTAAGCCGGAAAACTTCATGCTTGTCTCCCCCAGCAGGAAGCAAGTTGGAGGCCAGAATGCACTCGAGTGTCTTCCACTAGTCATGGAACCTCAAAGTGACTTTTACAACAGCCCACTCCTGGTTCTCGACTTTCAGAGTCTATACCCTAGCGTCATGATTGCTTACAACCTTTGTTACTCAACGTTTCTTGGCAGGATCGTCAACTGGCGCGGGATGAACAAGATGGGCTTCACCGAGTACCAGAGGCACAGACGTCTTCTTGAGTTGCTGAAGGACCACATCAACATCACACCCAACGGAATGATGTTTGTGAGGCCCGAGATCCGCAAGTCTCTTCTTGCCAAGATGCTAGGCGAGATCCTGGAGACGCGAGTGATGGTCAAGAGTGGGATGAAGCAAGACAAAGACGATAAGACGCTTCAGCAGCTGCTCAATAACAGACAACTGGCTTTGAAGCTTCTTGCGAACGTCACCTATGGCTACACTTCGGCGTCTTTCTCTGGCCGCATGCCATGCTCGGAAATCGCCGACAGCATCGTTCAAACAGGACGAGAGACGTTGGAGCGGGCCATCGCATATATCCACTCGCAGGACCGGTGGGGCGCCGAGGTGGTTTATGGTGACACAGACAGTCTGTTCGTCTATCTCAAGGGCCGCACCAAGGATCAAGCCTTTGACATCGGCGAGGAAATAGTCAAGGCCATTACGGACATGAATCCAAGGCCGATCAAGCTCAAGTTTGAAAAGGTCTATCACCCTTGCGTCCTTCTGGCCAAGAAGCGGTATGTTGGCTACAAGTACGAGAGCCGGGACCAAGTCAAGCCTGACTTTGATGCCAAAGGCATTGAAACTGTCAGGCGGGACGGGACTCCAGCCGAGCAGAAGATTGAGGAGAAGGCCCTCAGGATCCTCTTTGAGACGGCGAACCTCAGCGAAGTCAAGTCGTATTTCCAGAAGCAGTGTGAGAAGATCATGCGAGGGTCTGTTTCGGTGCAGGACTTTTGCTATGCGAGAGAGGTCAAGCTGGGGACCTATAGCGATAAGGGCCCGCCGCCACCGGGAGCACTTATCAGCACGAAGAAGATGCTTGAGGATGCGCGGGCAGAACCACAGTACGGAGAACGAGTGCCCTACGTCGTAATCACGGGGGCTCCGGGGGCGCGGCTGATTGACCGCTGCGTGGCACCGGAAGATCTGCTCAAGGACTCGCACTCCCAGCTGGACGCAGAGTATTACATCTCCAAGAACTTGATCCCGCCGCTGGAGAGAATATTCAATCTCGTGGGTGTCAACGTGCGGCAATGGTACGACGAGATGCCCAAGGTTCAGCGCATCCGCCGGATCGACCAGACGCTCGGCCGGGGAGGGCTTAACAAGAAGACGCTGGAATCATATCTGAACTCGGCCTCGTGCATCTCGTGCAACGTCAAGATGCAAGTCGAGGGCGTCATGTGCTCCAAATGCCAACATGATGTGCCTTCGTCGCTGTACCACCTCCAGATGCGGTTGCATCAGGAGGAGAGGAAGTACATTGACGTGGTCAGGATCTGCCGCAGCTGTTCGGCGATGCCTGCAGTGGAAGAGGTCCCTTGCGATAGTAAAGACTGTCCCGTATTTTACTCGCGGGTCAAACAGGGCGCGCGGCTCAAGATGGAGAAGGGTGCCCTGGAGCCGGTCATTGAAGAATTGGTTGCCAAGGCGGGAGGAGCCGCGCTGGAGTGGTGAAGTGTCGTGGTATTGCTTTTTATTTTCATGTTTAAATTTTCTTCGGGCGAGGTTGGATATTGGCATTCGATGCGTGTACAGATGGGTGGATGGACTGGATGATACCTCGGGAACGGTGGTCGCGGTGTTGGTGGGCAATGCCTCTTGGTTGGGATCGATTTGTAGTATTGTAATGATGTAGTTTAGGATGTATACGATGTCACGACCCCAATTATTTGAGTAGACGGTAGTGGCTCTCGGGCTTCTTTGGGGCCAGGCAAGTATTGAACGCATAAGTGTGGAGGCCATTAGACGCACTAAATAAAGACTTTGTGTCTTTTTCTTCTTCTTCCTCTTTTTTCCCTTCTTTTTTCCCTCCCCTCCTCAGCAATTTGATGATATTGTGCATCGCGATGAGATTTGGGGGAAATAAGCAGACATGGCGAAATGAGCTCTCGGTGACCTCACACACGTACCTGTCGCCAGGGGTCCCCAACACATCTGTTTCTCGCGGGGTAGAAGGATACCTACACCAAATGCAGGGATGTCCCATTGCCGACTCAACCGGTTCTCACACAGGCCGAGCGAACAGCGGTCTGCGGGTCACCCGGTAATACCTTTTGGGGGCTTTGGAGTGCTCCTCCCCCCCCACACCAGCAACAGACAGGTACACCCACACACTATTACGTAGTGTGTGTACATACCTTGGTACACCACGGCACTCGAGAACGTTCCCCCCTCGCCCTCAGGCCACCTCATGGTTTAAATTTATAGTGTTCCTCCAAAAGTTTACCTCTTTGCTCAGCCGATGCTGCTATTGCTGCTAGCAACTCCTACTACGCCCTGAACGGAACTACTTGTCTCTCTCTCTCTCGTCTCGCCTGTTGCGGACAGCTGTCATAAGGCTCAGTCGCCCTCACATGACGGGTGCGAGCTGCTGACTGGACGCCCCAGACCCAGACCACAAAGTGACTTTTTTCAGTTCCCTTGGCTGATCCATTCCCACGCCATCCATCCTCGATCCAGACTCGGGTCAAGATCCAGTCCCGCGGACCTGCTATCCACCTCGCCAAAGTGTAACAAAGCAGCAAAAAGGAAAGGGGGAAAGCAGCGTTTGCTTGCTTGTGATCTTGAAACAAGAGCTTCCCTATCTTGCTCGCCCCCCTCGTCTCTCCCAACCGGCAACAATCAAGCGCCGATGATCTCGCCCAATCCCCTCGTCGTCCTGCTACCCATCCGCTAGCAGCACTTTACCAGTGCCCGCGCGAGACCGAGAAAGTGACGACTGAGATAGTGAGGAAAGGGCAACGGACTGATCCCGGTGAAGCGTCATGGGGGGTTGGACGGCATTCATCTTCACCTACCTCCTAGGAGGCTTGACCTTTCTGCCCTTGGCCGTCTTTGTCGTCCTCGCCCACGCCTATTTGACCCTCCCTTACCGACAGGATGCTGACACAACCTGCGACTTTGTCGACGACGGTCCGGGCTCCATCGTCCAGCCCGGCGACGACCTGACGGCCCTCGAGGCCGAGAAAGCCATGGCCAAGGACGAGGGGGCGACAAATACAACGACGAAGCGGTCCGCCCAGGAGAACGACGTCGCTGCGGGCTACTTCGCCGTCTGCAGGGAGTACACGCCCATGGGAATCAACGCGAAGCCTATTGAGCGAGCCACCCCGACCGGGTCCACAACCGTCGCCGCGCCGAGCCAGAGCGTCTACCAGACCATGTACAAGAGCATTTTCGAACGCAAGTCAACTCCGGGGCCCTTGGACAATAGGAACGGCCTGAGCCAGCGTCCCAAGAACGCTGGCAACGTATTTTATGTCGTGCTGAGGTATGCACGCTCTGTTTACTTCGTGTATATACCTGCTCACGATGACTGACGCGCCCGCAGGCACGGCCACTTGATGCTCTTTGACGACGACGAACAACTCGAGGTCCGACACGTAGTCTCGCTCTTGCACCACGACATCAGTATATACTCTGGCGGAGACGTCACCCCCGAGGGCGAGCTGTACATCAAGAGGAATGCGTTGTGTCTGTCGCGGAGGACGGACGGTGCTGAGCCCGGTCCAGACAGCCAACTTTCCAAGCCATTTTACCTCTTCTCGGAAAACTGCTCGGCCAAGGAGGACTTTTACTTTGCCATGCTCCGCAACCAGGAGCAGACCTTTGGTGCTGAGAGAAAAGCCCCGAGGCCGAAGCAGTTCGAGGTCAAGAACATTATTGCACTGGTCCAGAAGCTGCACTCTTCCGATGAGCACCTGTCCACGAGGTGGCTGAATGCCATGGTCGGCCGGATGTTCCTGGGGATCTACAAGACGACTGATCTAGAGCATTTTATCCGCGAGAAGCTCACGAAGAAAATTGCCCGTGTCAAGCGGCCGTCTTTTCTCACCAACATTGCCATCCGCAGAATCGATACCGGCGAGTCTGCACCTATCATTACGAACCCACGCCATAGGGACTTGAACGTCGAAGGAGAGTGCGTGATGGAAGCCGATATTCGATACACGGGCAACTTTCGCATCGAGGTTGCTGCTACAGTTCGTATCGACCTTGGATCGCGCTTCAAGGTCCGCGAGGTCGATATTGTCCTAGCAGTTGTCCTTAAGAAGCTAGAGGGGCATATGCTGTTCAAGATCAAACCCCCGCCGAGCAATAGAGTCTGGCTCTCTTTTCAGAGCATGCCGAAGATGGAGATGACAATCGAGCCGATTGTGAGCGCTCGACAGATCACATACACCATCATCTTACGACAGATTGAGAATAGAATCAAGGAGGTTGTTGCCGAGACATTAGTGCAGCCGTTCTGGGACGACATGCCATTTTTCAACACGGAGCACAAGAAGTGGCGAGGCGGCATCTGGGAGGACGACGATGCGGTTGTTGGCTCGAGTAGTGAGGACACCAACATTGCAGGAGACGGCGATGTGGAAGGTGTTGATCGTTTCGATGAGACGGGAGACCTGTCCAGTGAGACGAGACCGTTGGAGAAGAGCCACAGCATGCCCATCGTCGAGAACTCTCCACCCGCCGGGTTGTTCGGCAGGAAGATCCAGAGCAAGGGATCCAACAGCCCTCTCAACGGCTCTTCTACGAGCATCGACGTCATCGGCCCCCCCACGGTAGCGTCGTCGGCATCACCTGTTCCTAAGCCGTTCAGATCGCCGTCGATTTCGAGTCCGGCCAACCCTGTGGTCGGCACCGATATAGCCCACGCGGATGTATTCAAACCCTCGTCATCGCCGCCCGACCATGCTTCGAGCATGATGGCGGCACTGTCCGCAAGGTCGACACCGGCGACGACTCCCTCTGAGGCACCAACCAGGCCCACGCTGCTCGCCAAAGCCCCGAGCCAATCTTCCGTGTCTTCTCGTGAGGCCACAGATAACGAAAATGAGGCGGACCGCACGCCGGTGACCGGGGGGCGGCGAAGTACAGCTTCCTCGGCCGAGTCGATGCGCATCAACGAGTCCGTTGACCCTAGCTCGCCAACGTCGTCTTCAAGAGGCTCTGTCAAGAGTACTACGGGCTCCGTCTCGAAGGGTCTGTTCCGACGAGAGAACACCGGGAGCACGAACTCGACCACCTCGGCAAACGGCGAGACGAAACGCACCACTCTCTCGGCCGTTGCGAATGCTGCAGTCACTGCCAGGCAGTGGGGCTGGAACGCAATCCAGAAACACAAGGACGCCAAGAACAGCAACGGGACAGAACAGGCGCCTCAGCTGGACCTGAACCAACCCATGGGAAGAGGTAGGCCCTTGCCGCCCCCGGGTACACCGCTTCCGCCTCCCGAGCGGGGGTCCAAGGTCACGACGATCCCCGTGCCGAAGCGGAAGGTCATACCCCCACCGAATATCCCCGAACGTCCGCAGCCAACCGCAACAGCGGAAAGCAAACCTGAGCGCAGACCCGTGCCGCCCCCGCCCCTGCCGTCGCGGCGCCACATTGACACGCACAAGAACACGGATGAAGATGGCGGGGAGAGCTTGCTGGTCGTTGAGGCGCCTCTGGACTCGGAGCCCTCGACTCCGCTGGCCGAGAGCATGTTTCCGTCCGCGTACGTCCAGCCGTGGGTCGAGGAGGCATATGACGACGAAGGGATCACGGGCATCTCACAGACACAAGACTCTAGGCACGAAGAGGACAACAGTCGAGAGGGGGGCAAGGAAAAGAGTCGAACGCCACCACCTCTTCCACAGCGCCGCAGCAAGCCTGAGGAGGGCGACCAAGCCATTGAGGCCGGCCCCACGAACGTGGCGGATGACGACGAGGACTATTCTGCGTGGATCGACGACACGCAGGATATTTTGGTTGGCAGCGGAAGGGGCAGCGTGGAGGTGAAGTAATGACGCATCTGTCGGGTTTTCATTGATTGGAGTTGGGGAACGGAACAGAGGGGGGTAATGGCTTTTTGGACGGGGTTGGATTGGGGTCGGAGTTGCATATTTAGGATACCAATTACTTACACACACCAACCGATACTACTACTACATACGTAAACCACCCTAGAACACCTTCTCTCCTGTCCAGCGTCTTTTACAAGGGAATCCTAGAGCCCTCGGTTCAAAGTCCAGCTCGCTGGCGGCGGTGCCCCCCTTGTGTCTGTTTTTCTTTTTTCTTTTTTTCTTTTTTGCTTGCACCATTATCACGCCCCCTTTGACGGGCACTACGGCGAACGTGGGAGAGGGTGCGGGCATACCATCCGTGACCGTGACGGCTCCAAGAGGGATGGATGATCCCGGCCGGGCGCGCTCGCCGGTGGTCCTACATCGTGGGCAGGGAGTTAAGACGAGCGCCCGAAACCCAGGCCTCGGAGGCGTGGGTGGGGTACGTTGTTAGATTGGCAAAAGGAGGAAGAGGATGGATGGACATGCCTGCGTTTTCTCCCTCCGCTCCCCCCAACCTCGGTCATCACCGCTTGCATCGGGCTTCCAAAAGTGATTCACGCTAGGTCAGATTCACACGGGATGGGGATGCCTTTTAAATATATGTAAAATAAGATAAAAAGGTTCAGAAGTAGAACTATGCATTACATCTACAGAGTCCCAATGCCCAAGTTGATCAATCCCACAAAAGCCTTCCAGATTCGCCCTCCCAATTTCCATAGGAGAGAGAGAGAGAAGAGTCGAGGGGCGCATGCCCTGATAGCACAAACATAGAAAAAGCGGTAGAGAGAGGGGGGGGGGGGGGGGTGGGTGAGAGAGTACATTAGAAAAAGAACAGGAAAAGGAAGTAGGTGTTGTTTTTGTTGTTGTGGGTTATGGTTTTGTCCTTCCCCTAAGTCGATCACGAAAGCCGCAATACCAGATGAAGCCAAGCTTCAGTCGCATCCGGCAGTACGTTGCTATGTTTTCTTTCCCAGGCCCACCGGTTCTCTGTCCCCTGAGATTTCGCCGTGGCCATGCTGCAAAACTTGGAATCAATTGGTTTCGCTAATCAGAAACCCCCAATGCGAACGATGACAGGTAGCTCCCGGTAGCAAAGAAAACAACGCAGCCGAAAAAAAGCATGCTTAGCAATCATCCAGACAACGTGGTCTGGCAATGGTTGACCGGTGCCTTGTGGCTATAATCGAGACAGGCAGAACGCGAAAAGAAGTATTTGTCGTCGTGAGGACGCAGGGTCCTGGATGCAGTCGTAAATGATAGATTAGGTCCAAAAAGGAAGGAGAAGGGACCTGGGCTCTTGCGGGGCGCAGGGCATCCCAGGCAAAGACAACAAGGAGATGGTTGTCATGGACATCGTGATCCGTTGCGTGAGAGCGAATTCTTCATGGATGGGGCGAGAGTTTCCCACGAGGCCAAATTTCGGCGTAGCGAGTGGATTGCAAGGGTGCTTCATTGGTTTATGTTAAACTTGAGGCTGCTCAACAACCGCGTGGAGACGGTGGTGGGGCTCATCGAGCGCCAGCTTATTATGCTCGTGACTTCAAGGTGGTCAACGGCGTAGACGCAGAGGGTCCAGAGTGGGAGTTGGAGTGCGAGTGAGAATGAGAGCCGGACGGCCGACTCCGCTTAGAGTGGTGGTGGAGGGTGCCAACATCATGCTTGCCTGATTCATCGTTAGCATGTCTGCCTTGGGGTGGGGGGGACGATCAAGCCCAAACTTACCATCGCAGCAGGCGCGCACATTCTCCAATCTGTCGGCCTCTCGGTCTTGCTTTTCGATAATCTCTCGGAGGTCCTCAGCACTGTCGTGCACCTCGCTGGCCTCATATATGCTGGGGCTCATGGCCCCGGAGCGACTTCTCAGGCTCGAAAAGGTGCCGAAGTAGCCGCTGATCCTACCCAGCGTCCCCACAGGAGGTCGCTGGGCCTGGGCTTCGTGCTTGGTCGGGGTCAGAGTCGGTGGGTTCATCGACATGTCGACTGCCGGGGACTGGTTGCGGGTGGTCCGTGAATTGTATGATGACAGAGACGGCGGAGGCCTCTGACGCGCCGTTGAGCTGGCGCGACGATCAAGCTGAGGGTTGAACTCATCCACATCGGCCTGTGTGAGGTTGCCAGCCATCTCCTCGACGTCGGACTGCCCTTCGTCGGTTGTGCGAAGCAAGAGATACGACAAGGCATTGAACCACGTCTCGTGGCGCTGGCCAGTTGTACAGGTAAACTTGATGGTTCTGCCGGGGGAGATGACGATCAAGCTCTTGCGGTGGAGGCCGGGAGGCATGGGGTTGTCGTCGGTCACCACGCGGACGGCCTCAATGGGCACACTCTTCCCGCGAAGCTCGGACCGTCCGGCAGTGGCCGGGTCACGATCGCTCCAGTACAAAGTCCGGGTGTACGGGTGGACCCAGAAGTAACGCCTGTGTCTGAAGTCCGACATTTCGCCGCGCCCGGTCTTGCGGGTGTATTTCCATAGATATTCGCCAATCATGGTCTGTGTGATGGCCTGGATCATGCGAGGATCGGTATTGGGGCCAAAGCCACTCGCCGCAGCCGCCTCAGCGTGGGGGTTGAACCGGTGGTCGATTTCAGAAACGAACGAGGACACCGAAGAGTGCCTGCTCATAGTCGACAGCTTGGTCGGAGAGTGAATCTCGGCACCACCGTAAGGCGCGCCAGCCCGCGAAACGCGAACAGATGGGGCGGCATTCACCGATGTGGAGATTGACAACGGGGACTGTGGCCTTGCGCCGTTGGGAGTCTGTGGCCGCTGGTTTCTCATCGCGGAGGCGGGCCACAAAGGAGGGCCCATAACCGCACTTCCATGCGAGGACCCGGTTCTCGCAGCTTCGATAGCCTCCTTGTGGTTGGAGGGCAGAGGAGGAAGTGACCCGGTAGACGCGAGGTTGCTGCTGGCACTGCCTGGTCTTCTGAATCCCGTATCCATCTTGTTCTCGGTTGCGAAGCTGCTAAGACTATCATGGGACGGACGGTGGATGCGGACGGTACCGGGGGTGCTCGGGGTTCCGAAGCTCGACAGCGACTTGTCAGAAGTGGCCTTGGTCTTTGAGAGGAGCATCTCTTCGATCGCCTCGGAAGTCAAAGCAGTCTGGGCGCCAGAATCAGACATGGGAATCACTGGCTTGCGCGCAGCGTGGTTGTTGGCGTTGGTTGAAATATCCTTGAACGGCCGCTGGGACTCGGGAGTCTCGGACAGACGAGTTTCGCTGGGCGATTGTCTGGTCTCATCTTCCGCGATGATGGTGCTGTCGTCTGCCTTGTTCTTACTCCGGCCGAAGACGGAGCTCATCAGAGCATTCCTGGAAGGCGTCCGTGGCGCGTCCTTGTCACCATAGGAAGAATCCATATTGTCGCGAGGGAGGATAAAGGCATCTCTCTTCGGGCTTCTAGGCGAAATGGGTTGCGTCTCAATCGACTCGATAGTGGAGAAAGCGAAGCTGGGCTTCAGCGCTGAAGGTTCCGGCGTGGCAACAGGCTCCACGTGCTGAGACAGAACGGAGGAGAACCCTAACGGAGGGAGAAGTGCAGCAAGAGGCTCGATGTGCTCCGAGCGAATTTCGGAGTATGCGAGAACAGCGGGAAGAGGTGCTGGGGTCTCAGGCTCGGCCTTGGGCTCAATATTCTCAGACGAGATGGAGGACAGGCTGAGAGCGGGCGGTGCCGGGGGAAGCACCTCCGGCTCAGCGAGAGGCTCAATGTCCGAGAATGCGATAGAAGACAAGGTGAGCGATGGCGCGCGCTCGGCCTTCGGTTCAATGTCCTCAGAGGAGATTGGCGTAAGGCTGAGGACAGGTACGGGGGCAACCACTTCGGGTTCCGCGTTCGGCTCAATGTTCTCAGCCGCAATAAGCGAGAACGTGAGAGTCGGTATCTTGGGGGTAATCTCCGGCTCCGCTTTGGGCTCAACGCCCTCCGCCACGATGGACGAGAGGCTCAGAGTGGGGGGCAATACCTCAGGCTCTGCTCTTGGCTCAAGGTTGTGAGAGTGAAGATCTGAGAAACTGAGGACGGGCACCGGGGAAATAATCTCGGGCTCAGCCTTGGGCTCGACGTGCTCCGTCGCGATAGCCGAGAGGCTGAGAGTGGGCGCAACAACAGGGATCTCTGGCTCTTCCCTCGGCTCCACGGTCTCGGACGTGATTGACGACAGGGTAAGGGTTGGCAATGACGGTGCCGGTGCTGGTACCGGGACAGGAGCAGGGATGATTGCAAGTGCCCGAGACTGTTCCGGGTCTTCCTTGGGCTCGATGTTTTCGGACACTAGAGCTGACAAGGTAAGATCGGGCACGGGAAGCACGACCTCGGGCTCAGCGACCGGCTCAAGGTTTTGCGAGTGTAGCGCGGAGAGACTGAGAGCCGGAGGCGGCACCTCTGGCTCAGCTACCGGCTCCAAGTCGTGAGCGTGCAGCGCCGAAAGAATAAGAGCCGGGGGCGGCGTCTCGGGCTCGGCCACAGGCTCGAGGTCATGGGAGTGCAAGGCCGACAAGGTGAGCGTCGGCGGGAGTATCTCAGGCTCGGCCACGGGCTCGAGATTGTGGGCATGAAGGGCCGACAGGCTGAGGACGGGAGGCGGCACCTCTGGCTCGGCAACAGGCTCGACCGCCTCTGACAAGTAAGTCGAGATGGTCAGCGTCGGGAGTGGCACTTCGGGCTCGGCCTTTGGCTCAACATCCTCCGAGACAAGAGGCGTGAACGCCAAGACGGGTACAGGCCGCACAATCTCAGGCTCTGCCTTGGGCTCAACAGCTTCAGAAAGCAAGGACGTAATGGTGAGCTGGGGCGGTGCAGGAGGAGGCGTCTCGGGCTCGACGACAGGTTCAATATCTTGTGCGTCAATGGAGGAGAGGCTGAGCTCAGGCGGCGGCGGCGGCGGGGTGTAGCTGTCGAGACTAGATGGTGGCATCGGGAACTGCGCCAACTTCTCATCCATGTCAACATCA